GGTGAAAAGGGCATTCAATGGGGAAAGATTTTCCACAGATGGATATTTTCCCCTTGTCCCCCGGTGGTTACGCCACTGCGGAGAATACCTGGCGGCTTAGATCAAATGCGGTATGGACACTTTTTGAAGTGGAGAAGGGGTTGCAGGCCGGGGTATTGTGATATCTGTTCATTATATCTTCCTTTTTATTCTTGTCTTTATTTTTCTCTTCTCTTTTTCTTTTCCTTTTTCCTTTCTTTTTCTTTCCCCTTCTTTCTCTTTCCCTCCCTCTCTCCTCTTTCTTTTCTCTTCTTACCCAGCCCGGTACGACGGGTTGGTCAGCCCGGTAAAAACCGTCGGGGGGGCAGTCTGCCCCCCCTGGCCCCGCCTTTTACGCCACTGCTTATGGAATATGAATCATGCAGATCTGGAATCAAATCTAGGTGGTGGGGTCAACATTCCTCCCCTGGGAAAATTTTGATTTCTAGATGGCGGGAGATGACCTTTCTCGACTTTTGAGCTAGGTGTCTAATGACTTTGTTCTTCAAAATTGAAGGTTTTCCCCCTCATGAAAACGGTAAGGTAAACTTTCTCAGCAGCCATACAAAAATCTCCAGACATTATATATTTTTCGCCAGAAAGTGGGGGGCCCGGGCCCCCCCGGCCCCCCGCTTCCGCCGGCCATGTATATTACGCTGTATTTTGTCCAGTATATTACACTGTATTTTGTCCAGTATATTACACTGTATTTTGTCCAGTATATTACACTGTATTTTGTCCAGTATATTACACTGTATTTTGTCCAGTATATTACCTTGTTGAGGGTGTCCAACAGGATACTGACTGGCATTTGAAATCAGACTTCCAGGAAATGGAGATACTATAAATTATAAATTCAAATTACAATGACTATCTTAATGTCTTGTTTTTCATTAAACATTAAGATATTTACTATAGTTTTCTTTAAATATACAGTATTCTTCAAACCAGTAGTGATGCCGGGATTTGCCTGAAGGGATTTGATGTCTTGAATGTGGGGGAAGGAAGAAGTCCCTGACAAGAAGGCAATTTTCTCTGACAGGAGCATAAGTGGGTGCGACCAGGAGAAGCCTAGAGCCTGTGAGAAGGCGTCGGAATATCTCGAGGTTTGGAAGGCTAATTTAAACAATTTTAGTCTCTTAGAGTCACACATTCTATAAACATTGTTTTTTCTACCGAACAAATTTTGTTTTTTCCCCCAGGAGCTGGGTATAATATCAGATTCACACCTTAATAATTCAGAAAACAATGTTGAATCAGCCTACCAGGTACCCATCATTATACTTCTTTATTGGAGTGAGCCAACATGCACAAGGACACAAGCGAAACGCCATTATGAAGCCACACCCCAACCTCTGAGTTGAAAGTATGAACTGCCCACAACCACTGCACCAATCGATTTCACCAAGAAAAAATACTGTAAATTCTTTAGAATATTACCTTGTTGAGGGAATCCTGGTTGAAATTGGTTGGTACTAACAGGCATACTACCAGAATCTGGAGATACTGTAAATTAGAAATTAAATTTATATTGATATGGTAATAGTTTATGTTCTTAGGGAAATTTATTTAATTCTGCAATGTTTTATGGTTCAAGGATGAATGTGCATGGTTTCATTTTAATGAGAACAAGCTTTAGGGCTTGGTTAATCTTGGCTATGGAGTTGTTATAATTATTATAGTCAGTGCCCTGGTGTTAAAGCCCCATTCCTGGCAAAAGTTCAGTTGTTAAGAAAAATCTAATTTTTGTATAATGTTATAAAGATTTATAAATATAATACGGAATTGCTAGTTTAACTGAATTTAGACATTCCTAAGCATGAAAAAAATGTAAAATAAGTCTGAAATTTGATTTTTTTTGTGTTCCACACAAAAAATAAATGCAGATTAATTTTTCATGTTTAATTTTGTGACAGGTCAGCAAACAAATATAGTAGGCGCCGAAAACATTAGCCTATCCAACACTGCTAGGCTAGGCCTAGCCTTACTTTGGATGAATGGCTTCTTTTCAAGATGGGCTTCTTTTCAAGAAAGGCTACTTTCGCAAAGTAAAGAGGGGGCTTCTTTTCAAAACGAATGCTGTAAATTTTGTGAATTTGTACTATAAAACAATAAATAAGGCCACTGAAACATGAAGTGTATTTAAATGGCACTAAATCACCTAAACTACTGTATGAATTAAATCAAGCTTGTTTTTAATTTATTTTGTTTTCTGAAATTCATGTACAGTGTTTGTTCTGTACTATCTCAAAAAGAAGCCTATGGTATCTTGAAAAGAAGCCCATGGGTTTCTTTTCAAGGCTACTGTACATTTGTGAACTAAAAAGAGGGGGGGGGCTAATTTTGCAAACTAAAGAGGGAGGCTTTAATTTGAGATGGGCTTCATCTCGAGATTAAGTCCACTAGGTTTGAATTCGAGGTTTTACGGTATTACCAGTTCACATTCCAACCTCTAGGCTGAGATTGAACCACCTGTAACTGGTGCTCTGTATTTTGACCTGTATATTACCAAAGATAATAAATAGCAGAAGATAGAGCAGCTTCCCAATATAGTGGAACATCCGTTCCAAAGGCATTGTTGGTACACAGAGAGCACTTTTACCCCGTCCGCACAGCGGCCCTATATAGAAATAATGAACAGCAATAAAGCCATTATGAAGCCACACCCCAACTTCTGAGTTGAAAGTATGAACTGCCCGCAACCACTGCACCAAACAATTTTACCGAGAAAATACACAGTTAAATGCTAAATAGCATTCCAATAAATAAAAACAAACAAACAGTTGAGGGAATCCTGTTTGAAATTGGTTGGTGCTCCCAGGCAGACTTTGAGAATCCAGAGATACTGTAAATTACAAAATATATTCATACTGATAATAGTACAGTAACAATGTCTCACTTTGACTTGAACAGTACATCAAGACAAAAATCTTCTTTACTGGAGTGCCACAACATGGGTAACAATCATTTTACAAGGAAAGTGAAATGGCAATATCGTCGCTCACATCACGAACTAACACAATCAAAGTATATTGTGTTAGTTTGTGAAATCACATTAGCGCGTCAAAACGAGCGTGTATTGGTTGTCAAGCAATTTTGTATTCTTTACCACACAAAAAGTCCTTAACACAATTGAATTTAATTGTGTTAGTTTGTGATGTGAGCGACGATATAAGGAATGGGACTAGTTAACCGTTGCTATGGAGTTGTTATAATTATTATAGTCAGAGGTTAGGTAACCAACGAACTACTGCAAACTACAAACTACTGTTTCAAAGTTGGCAGGTATACAGAAATAGCTACAGGTACTAAACAAATACAACAATTAAGGTAAATTAAAATATATAAATAATAAATGTTCTTTAGCAAAATGGACAACATGGGTCAAAGGCTATGTCCAAGTACACAAGTTCAAACATGGACAACTTGTGTTCACACTCTGACCTTCTACAGAAATTTACTCTGTAGAGGTCAGAGGTCTAAACCACCCATTAGAATTACAGGTGGTTTATGGATGCATTTACTATATGGATGCATTTACTCCAGCACATTACCTTGATGTGGGTGTCCTGTATGAGGTTGACTTATGCCGCCAGGCATATACCCAGTCCCTTTAAAATTGAAATTAAAATTATGATAATAAATAACAGTACTGTACATAGGATTTTATTTAGATAGTTTATTTGTATTTCTTGATATTCTTCAAACTATTAAGGTTTTTGCCTTCACAATTCAAAAGACAATGTTTAATAAAAATAACAGGTACCTACTGTAGGCCTACACATTAGTGGAAAGACTGGGTAAACATGGGCGGATCCAGATGTCCGAAATGGGAGCCAAAAGTGGGGTAGATCGACATAACACTGCTGTAGAGGATCTGGGGAAATGCTCCTGCAAAAATTCTTTGTTTTTTAGATGACCAAAATAAGCTCTGAGGCACTTTGGGTGATCAATTTTTCAGCCCATACCCCAGTTGTTTGGTTCATTTTTAGCCAACGTCTAGGTTGAGTGAACAGCCAGGCACTATTGCACCAATCAATTTCACCAGAAAACAATTTACTGTACTTTTTTAATCTACCATACAGTATTCATTTGGTGAGGGCATCTTATGTGAATTTGGTTAGTGCTTACAGGCAGATTCTATATCATTTTGTGAGTATACAATACTTTATTTGACTTTATATTTTATTAATACAGCTTGGTTTCCATAAAAATCAGTACACGCTATCGCGGACTCCTTTGACAAAGCTGATTGGTCAGTTGCAGGGATTGCAGTGAAAACGCTGTAGCGACTGTGTAGCGATAGTATAGAAACCGAGCTTACCTTGTTGAGGTGGTCCGGTATAACGTTGATTGATGTCCATATTATTTGGAGGTTGACTTGCTAAGTTGTTCACAAATTCATACAATGGATCGTCTTCGCTCTCTTTCAGATTTTTCAAAAAACTGCCAAATGCTTTTGGTCCTCTTGTTGCTAACAAATCTAAGAAGTACTCATTCTTGTATTGTGTTGTTAGTTTTGATTTGAGCATTTCTGCATGATTGGGTGTCATTATTTCATCCTGAATCATATAGTTAATCAGCGTTTCTGATTGTAAATCGTTCACTAGTCTAACCCGGTTTTGAATAAGGATCCTCTTATGGAATTCATTCATCATGAATGAGTGGAATTGATCTATAAAATGAAAATACAAAATATTAATTTGTGTGATATATTGCATGAATTAAAACTTTAAAAAAATGAATACTGGTAAAATTTACATAATATGATAACTTAAAAAAAACCACTTTTTTATACTTTGTTTTGTGAACCTGCTCCCCAGCAAAAATTCCAAATAAAAATAAAATGTTCAAGTCATCGACTGAAGATGTCTACCGCAGCGTGAAAAAGGTGTATTATGGGAAAACCGAAGTGTGGGTTGTTTGTTTGTTTGTTTGTTTAATTTATAACATATTAACATAGATAACAAAGGCTTAATAGTAAAACCAACTAAGAATAATAGTACATTACAGAATAAGTGTGTGGAAGGAGGCCAAAATAAGTTTAGAATAAAACTTTAAGCCGTGGCCACCAGTTAAAAATATATAGAAATCCAAAAATATAAACACAAAATAAATATATATATATATACACATATGCATATACATACATATACATACATACACATACATACATACACACATACAGTACATAAATATATATATACACACACACACACACATACATATACAAACAAACGTACATATATATATGGTGGCAGTCCATTAAGTACAAATAAGAATGACCGACAGACAGACAGACCGACCAGGATACTTACCGGCCATACTCCGAGACCAGAGACTTTTTAAGATTGTATTTAAAAGAGTTGAGATTAGGTAAGGATTTAAAGGAAGTTTTTAAGGAATTCCATAATTTTGGACTAGTGTAAAATATGGATTTTTTTCTAGAAGAGGATGTATATTTTTCAAATAAAACGTTACTTTTAGCAAATCTAGTATTATGGTCATGTATATCAGCCTGTTGTTTTGGAAATAGATTATGAATATGTGGAGGTAATGTTTCATTTCTAAAGCGATACATAAAGACACAATTTTGTAATTTATGCAAATCAAATACATTTAGAACATTAAATTAGTAAAATAAAGGTTTGGTATGGGAAATACGAGTTGTCCCTGCACAAATCCTGAGAGCTCGCTTTTGTAATTTAAAAATATTGTCAATAGGGGTTGTTTCAGGACTTGTCCAGGGACATAGATGAAGAAATTTATCAACTGTAGCAGCCCATGATGTGTTACAATAACTGATATAAGGTAAGATTAAAGTATTATACAAGGATAAAAGAATGTTCTGCGGAAAGTAATGTTTTAATTTATTCATAACACCAATGTTTCTTGATATAATATTTGTAATACTGTTATGATGGGATTGCCAAGATAATATGAAATCTAATGTAATGCCAAGGAATTTTGTTTCAGTTACTTTTTCAATTATGTTGTTATCAATTTTAATAAGAAAGGAATCTATGCTTTTTATTTTATTTTTAAAAACAATAAAATTAGTTTTAGAAATATTAAGAGATAGCATATTTAATTTAAGCCAATTAGATACCTTAGTTAATTCAGTGTTAATAATTGTAAGGAGATCATTTTTATTTTGGTGTGAATAAAAAATGTTAGTGTCATCTGCGAAAAGAACAAAGTTTAATAGAGAAGAGCAGTTTGGGAGATCATTAACATATATTAAAAATAACAAGGGTCCAAGTATGGATCCTTGTGGAACACCACATGTAATATTAGATAAATAAGAATTAAAAGAATTAAATGTAGTGAACTGTTGTCGGTTGCCAAGATAATTTCTAAATAAATCAAGAGCAAGGCCTCTGACACCACATCGTTCAAGTTTACTCAATAGAATTTCATAGTCAATGGTATCAAAGGCCTTGCTTAAATCAAGAAAAATACCGACGGTAAAATCATTATTATTAATTGCTTTAGTAATTTGGTCGTAAATATCAATAAGAGCAAGATCTGCTGAGTATAATTTTCTAAAACCATATTGGCGATTATAAAGAATATTGTGTTTAGATAAGAAGGTGTATAATCTATTGTAAATTAAGCGCTCCAGAATTTTTGAAAAACATGGTAACAAGGAGATTGGTCTATAATTAGTAAATAAATGAGCATCATCTTTTTTAAAAATAGGAACTACCTTGGCAACCAAGGCAAGTTATCAGGAAAAATTCCTTGGGCAAAACATTGGTTAAAAATATAACATAAGGGCTTCGTAATTAAATTGGAAGTGGATTTAACTACTTTGTTAGATATTTCATCACAACCAGGGCTCTTATTGTCTTTTAATACTTTAATAATATTTGTGATTTCCTCTTCAGATGGAGGTGTGAGAAAAAATGAGTCTTTAAGAGGTGGATTAAGATATGACGTAAAGTGATGGTTAGTAGGTTTGTTAATTTCCTTTGTGAGATTTGATCCAATGTTTATAAAATAATCATTAAATTTATTTGCTATAAGTTGAGGCTCAGTAATTTTTTATCCTTTGTGCTGAAAAAAAGATGGAAAATGTTTTTTTGTGTTGCGTCCTAAGACAGAGTTAATTGTTTGCCAAGTCTTTTGAATATTGTTTTTATAGAAATTAAATTTATCATTATAATGTTTTTTCCTTGGCTACAGTACACACACAAGAGAGTATCATTATAGTAGGTACATGACTATCAGTTGTTGAGAGCGCGATATCATGGCACTACTATCATTTTCAGCAGCAACTTAACTGTCTGGACAGCCCTCTATTGTTTTGGCTGCAAAGGTCATATTTATTTTTTTCCTATGACACGAACATACTGATGAAGTAGTTCACATTTTTCTCTTTGATCTCGTCATCAAACAAATTTTTTCCGACATAACGAAGTGAGTGAATTTATTGCTGAAAGTTTTGGTTGTAAAAAACATGCAATTATTTCATAGTAAGATAAGTTTATTTTGTTCTGAAACCAGTTTATTGTGTTCATATATTCATCCACAATGATGTGTTCATATATTCATCAAAGTCAGAGTACTATGCAAAAGTCTAGCAGCAAGGTCTGGTCTGAGACAGTCAGTGTTTGTCTTGAAGTATTTTACAGTTACCTTCAAACATCATCAGCCAAATCTCTATTCATTATGAAGAACTTCATGTAAGGAATATGTTTTCATCCTTTTGCCTACTATTTGTATAGTCTTTCAGAAGAAATTAAAGGAAATTTTAAGGCTAAAACCTAGGCTTCACTTGAACTGTAAGTAGCATTGTTTATTCATCAACAAGCCTTATCAACAAGCTGTTTACTACCTTAAAATGGCTTTGTTTGACTTGGAAGCTAGCCTAGACATTAGTTCCTGCTTGATAAATAATGATGTTTCAAGTGAAGCAGCTTTTCTAGGATTCACTGAGAATGAAATTGAAGAAATGTATATTATTGACTCAAAACTGTGGAAGATAGACCTTAACCAGTATTCTTGCTCTTTGTCTCCTAACACCAAAGATATTTTTGACAAGTTCATTGAACTATTATTGAGTGTATACGGCGAACCTGTTAAAAAAGGAATAAATTGTTTGACATTCAAAACAACAGTTGAGGAAGATGATCGTCAAGTGCCTGTTATATTAACAGCTAATTTGGAAAGCACCCATGTTCATGTTCAAAGTTACTGCTCTACGCAATGGGTTAAATCAGATTTCCATGCACTGAACAAGATGATAATGGATATATCTCCCAGTACATCCAACTTAAACTTATCATCGATGAGAAATGGATTTAGCCTAAATTCAGTCAACAGCTTGTACCATGATGTAGTAGAAAACCCTACTGTACAATGTACATCAACGCCTATGCCTATTCCCTCTACAACTGTTACAAGGCAGGAAGTCTTTATGTCCTCCTCAAGCACTCAATTTGATGATATTCAGATGTTCGTTAACACATCTCACACTCAAACAATAAATACCAAACCTATTGATAGTTGGACTCAGACACAAACAATTGATGAGACTCTGAAGATGAAGAACAAAATCAAAAGTCAAGAAGATGCCATTTTTGACTTAAAAAAGCAAGTGCAAGACTATCGTGATCTGAGATCTAATTTTACACACTTGTCAACAGCTTTCAGAGAGCTTTCCGAGCGTAACTCCTTACTCGAAGCACAAGTATTGAATCTACGCTCTGTGATACAGGAAAATGAATTTCACTATCCTGGTAAAAGTAAGTCTACTAATAAATCGTTGAATGTCCACCCTACATGTAGTCCAGCCGTAAAGTTACAGAACTCATTCAGTGCTCTTCCTGTTGAAGACTGTGTACAAAATAACAGCGACGACTCAAATGCAATTTTAACTCCACAACAACCATCTAATAAAGTTGCATCAAAGAAGTCCGGATTTGTTGAAGACTGCAACAATATTTCAAAACTTAAACAAACCTCTAGAGAATATGCATTCCATTCATGGTGCTGGCCCAGGTAATCATAGTGTCACTACACCAAGAAGGAATCTTGTTAATGGTGACTCAATAGTAAAGCACTTCAGACCAAACCTCCTCCAAGCAACTGATGTAAAAACTCTCCGTGGAGCTAGAGTTACGGATATCCAACGCCATCTTTCGGAAATGGATTTGTCGAAGGTGAACAATCTTATTATACATTCAGGTACCAATGATTGCACGTCTCCAAATTTCGACCCTTCAACAGTCGTTAATAAACTCAAAGAAATATGTCAATCGGCTGCAGACAGAATTGCTGGTCGCGTATACATTTCCAGTGTTTGCCCAAGACTAGATAGTAAAGCAAATCAAGACAGAGTTAACATACTAAATGATCTCCTCCATAAAGAATTTGGTCAAAGATTTATTAATAATGATGTCACCTTCACTGCAAATGGTCTAATTAGTGCTACTAACCTTGCAAAGGATGGTCTACACCTTTCAAAAAGAGGTACAGCAACTCTGGTCAAAACAATCAATCGAATGGTACAGATACTACCAATACGGCACATCCATCAAAGTCAGACAAGCAATATTAAGTACAACAGACAAGCCTGCTTCTTTTGTGGTGAAAAAGGCCACAATTCACATAACTGCAGACATGGACGACCAATTGAATGTTGGAACTGTGGAAACTGTGGCCACAAGGGGAAATTCTGCATGATGAACAATCCTTACTAATATCAAGGCAATGAAGAGTCAGCCGAGGAAAAAACAAACTACAAAGCAATAACTCAATGTAACTGCACCAACAATGCTTCTGAAGATGATTCTTGCAAATCTGTCTTTTACACATCAAGTTATAATATGAGTTGTAGTGAGATAGAAGTATCAGATATAGAAAACAATTCAAATAATCACTCTAATGTTTTTAAAAATAACTGTACAATTTCTAATCTATCTGTTTGTAATAAGACAAACACTGATGAATCGTTTCATTTAAATATAAGCCTTCCTGATTTCAATACTTATGAGAATGAGAATTTAAATCAAACAACTTTCCATGAAAACGAGACTACAAATTTTACAAGAAATAATAGTGTAAATGCAACAGAAAATGACAAAATATCTACACCCACCAATGTAAATGACACTGAAACTAATATATTTAAAGTTCTTAATAAACAGGGTCTAGTTATAACACAATTAAATATCTGTAGTCTTACTCACAATTTTGATGAATTGCAAAATATTTTAAATAATAATCACATAGATATATGTGGACTTAGTGAAACTTTCTTGAATGGAAATATTGGTAACAACGATGTACATATTGACAACTATTATTTATATCGGAAGGATAGAAATGTCGATGGTTTTGAAAATGTTAGACGTGGAGGTGTAGCACTGTATGTAAACCACAATTGTATTCATAAATTGCGAAATGACCTTTGTCCAAATGTACTAGAACTTATCACAATTGAAATTATGCCAGTCAAATGTAAGCCTTTTATTATTGTTTTATGGCCAGTACAGACCTCTTGGTTCATCGATTGATCAATTTAACCATATTAATAATATTTTACATTCTATTGAACTAGAAAGCAAAGACTACATATTAATGGGTGATTTAAATTGTGATTTACTTGCCACTGTACCTCATTGTTATTCTAATAAACTTAATGATATATGTGCTAGTTTTCATCTTCAGCAGATAATCAATGAACCTACTAGAATAACAGTAAATAGTTCTACTTTAATTGATGTTATGTATTGTTCTAATACTGATAAAATATCAGATAGCGGTGTAATTCATGTCGGTTTAAGTGACCTCTCCATGACATATGCAATCTGGGGTAAAAAAAAACATAGTAATACAAAAATAGTTGATAAGCAGAGAAGCAATCAAAATCACAAGTACAAAATATCTCGAGATTACTCTAAATTAATAGAAGAAGATTTTCTCTGCGATTTAAACAATATAATCTGGGATGATGTTCTGTCAGCATGTGATGTAAATATAAGTGCCCATCTATTTGAAAAACACTTTAAAGAAATTATAGACAAACATGTTCCCGTAAAAAAACGAAGGGTTCGTAAAAAATGTGCACCTTGGTTAACAGATGATATAATACCTGTCTCTTATACACATCTAGATGTGTATAAGAGACAGCATCCAGTCTTGTTGTTCGCAGATTTT